GTACAACACCCAGATAATTTTTTTCTTTTTTTTTTTTTTTTTTTTCAGAAAGGAGGGCTCACTATATTGTCAGGGCTGTTCTTAAACTCCTGGGCTCAAGGAATCCTTGAGATTCCAAAAAGTGCTGGAATTACAGGCATGGAGCCACCACACCTGGCCCTCCATTTGTATCCTTGCCTCAGTCCCTGCAAATATTAAGTATGTGTCTGTCTGTCTTCATCCAAACACCCACTTATTCCTACACATAAAATCTTTCTTCTATGCATAAAATATCTCCATTCCTAACAAAGACTTCTGCAAAGTCCTATCCAGTTCCTACATTCAGGTCTGAGGTCACTATGTGATTTTCAATTCTCTCCACTAAGTCTAAAGGTGACTCATTGTGGTCTGATGACCTATAAACTAAAACGCAAGTTGTACCTCTTCCTTTACATGTATTATGCAATGGTGAAGTAGAAAAAAAATGTATCTACAATGGAAATTTCCATTCAGAAAAGGGAAAAGTGGAAAACATAGGGTAGTCATGAAGGTAAACTGCCAGGGCAAGAGAGGACGTTTCTTGGTCAGCCCAGTTACAAGTCCACGTTTTGCTCCCTGAGAGAAAATCCCTGTCTACAGTCCTCCCTGGCCCTTAGCCTTATTCCTTAGCAATTATTTTTCAAGAAGTAGGCAATGGGTCATATGCTTTTGTTGGAGGTCATACAGATCTTGTGGTTGCACTGAATTAATACATCTATAACCAAATTCAGATAAATTTTATCAGCTAAATTTTGGCAGAGTTTGTAACACTGCCAGTTATAAACTTACCCTTATTTTGCCTTATAATACCAATTAATGATAGAAATTTCTCATAAAGACTCACTTGTATAGGATTCCAACTGTTTTTATTGTCTACTACACTAGACATGTCAGTAGTTCAGTTAATACACCAAGAATTTGAAATAAGTAATTATACATAAGTTATCTTCTATAAGAGTGTTTTTTAGTACAAATTACTTCTTTGACATTTGACATACCACTTAGAACATCCATAATCTATGTAATATTCTTTATGTAAAGTTTTCTACAAGGAGTTCCCTAGTCCCATTATGCTTAACTGTATGTTAGATCTTCTATTATAAACTCTGTTTTTCAATAACTTATGAAGCCGTTTAAATTTGCTCTAGCTTAAAACTTGACAATTAAGGACAATCAAGATAACAACCCATTTTTTTTTTTGAGACAGAATCTCAGTCTGTCGCCCAGGATGGAGTGCAGTGGTGCAATCTTGGCTCACTGCAACCTCCGCCTCCCCAGTTCAAGTGATTCTCCTGCCTCAGCCTCCAGAATAACTGAGACTACAGGCACCCATCACCACGCCTGGCTAATTTTTGTATTTTTAGTAGAGACGGGGTTTCACTATGTTGGCCAGGCTGGTCTTGAACTCCTGACCTTGTCATCTACCTGCCTCGGCCTCCCAAAGTGCTGGGATTACAGGCGTGAGCCACCGCACCCAGCTTTAATGCACATATTTTTTAAAGTTCACATACATTTACGAAAAGAGAGTAATACACTCTGTTGTACTGTCATCTTACAGAACCCTTGGAATTTTTTTTTGTCCTGTCTTACAAAAAGAAACGCATTAAGACAATGAAATTTAAGAACTAGCATGGGCTGGGCATGGTGGCTCACGCCTGTAATCCCAGCACTTTGGGAGGCTGAGGCGAGTGGCTCATGAGGTCAAGAGATCGAGACCATCTTGGCCAACATGGTGAAACCCTGTCTCTACTAAAAATACAAAAAATTAGCCAGGCATGGTGGCACATGCCTGTAATCACAGCTACTTGGGAGACTGAGGCAGGAAAATCACTTGAACCCAGGAGGCGGAGGTTGTGGTGAGCTGAGAACGCGCCATTGTACTCCAGACTGGGCAACGAGAGCAAAACTCTGTCTCAAAAAAAAAAAAAAAAAAAAAAAGCTAGCATGAATGTTACGCTATGAACAAAAAGAGAGGCAGTCAACATAATGTACTAATGAATATTTCAAAGATTCTAGTTACAGGGAAAGATTTCAAACCAGTATCCTGCTGGTTGTTCTGACAGCTATAATGTCAAGATCAAGATTTATCATAACAAAGAAAAAAGCTGCTTTTCTCTAGATAATATAAACATGTTAGTCATTTTATTATATTACAACAGTCAATGATTAATAGTACCAAGAGCTATCAATGACTAGAGTTACCAAGAAAGTTGTTAGCCCATAATGCTAGTAAGTGACAAAAAGGGATTTAATCAATAATACAGATCAACTAACATCAAAGAAACCAAATATAAATCACTATTCTGTAATACTCTCCTTAAACCTAGGCTATCTGGTAAATATGCAGGTCCCCAGTCAGAGGAGATCTAAACACAACATAACTACTTCAGCATTCACTCCCTACTAATCAGCTGTTTGTTTTATGTGATGTTGATCACTATGTCTAAAAACACTCCAGAATCTAATATGGCTTTTGATTAATATATGCAGTTTCCTCTAATCTAGAAAAAGGTTAAGTGTTTAAAGATTGCAAAGTCAGCAAAGCTAACTAACTTCAGGTCTCCTCATCTCCTGGTTGTCTTGGTCATCCTTTTAATAGAATTTTGTAGAATACAACTACTAAATACAACTACCAAAAAGAAAGCATTAATAAATATTCGCTAAGTTTATACAATATGCACAGCCCTCTGGGGCATATTTTTTTTTAAGTCATAAAGTCTGCCCATCAACAATAATAATTTTGGCTGGACATGGTAGCTCACAGCTGTAATCCCAGCTCTTTGGAAGGCTAATGCAGGAGGACTGCTTGAGCCCAGGAGTTTGAGACCAACTTGGGCAATATGGCGAGACCCCGTCTCCACAAAAAATAAATAAATTGATTAACTGGCAATGGTGGCACATTCCTGTGTCCCATCTACTTGGGACGATGAGGTGGGAAAATTGCTTGATCCTGAGAGGTTGAGGCTGCAGTGAGCCATAATCGCGCACTGCACTCCAGCCTGGGAGACGGAGTGAGACCGTCTCAAGACTTACAGGAACAAGATTAGACAAGACATACATGAACAATTAGTGAATGAGCCATTATCTAATAAAAATATTGTGCTACATACTACAGATGCAGGCTCTAATGCTTGAAAGAAAGTTTAGAATGGGAGAAAAACAATGTCGGCCAAAATTGTCAGGCACAGTGGCTCATGCCTTGTAATCCAGCACTTTGGGAGGCTGGGAAAGGCAGAAAACTTGAACTCAAAAGTTCAAGCCCAGCTCGGGGAACATGGTGAAACCCGATCTCCACAAAAAATATAAAAAATTGGCCGAGTGTGGAGGCACGTGGCATAATTTCAGCTACTTTGGAGGCTGAGGCAGGAGAATCGTTTAAACCTGAAAGCTGGAGGTTGTTGGCAGTGAGCCAAGATTGCGCCATGCACTCCACTATGGGTGACAGAGCAAGACTCTATCTCAAAAAAAAAAAAAAAAAAAAAAAAAAAACTACATAGAAATGTTTTGTTATTAAATTTGTTTGAGGGGAGTAGATGTTCTGAGGAGGTGGCACCATAAAGAAAATAAAAACACTAGACAATTCAGAGTTGGTGAGGCCAGGCTCATATCTGAAATCCCAACACTTTGGGAGATGAAGGTGGGAGGATCATTTGAGCTCAGGAGTTCGAAACCAGCCTGAGCAAGATGGCAAAACCCCATCTCTACAAAAAATACAAAAAGTAGGTGGATGTGGTGGCATGTGCCTATAAGTCCCAGCCACTTGGGGGGTGCTGGGGCAGGAGAACTGCTAGAGCCCAGGAGGTTGAGACTGGAGTGAGCCATGTTTATGCCACTGTACTCTAGCTTAGGTGACAAAGTAAGACCATGCCTTAGAAAAAAAAAAAAAAAGATATACTTCTGAGAAAATACTACAGATTAATTATAGAAGTACCAAATCCTTCTTAATACTTTACAATTTACACAACAGAGTATATGTACTAATCAATATCTGCATACACATAGTATCCCTCCTCAATTAAATAATCCTAGGTCAACAAATAATAAGGAAAAAGAAGTTCATCATCATCATTAAACATATTCACAAAATTTCTATGTGTTTAATACTTTATTAGAGTTTACACAAAAAATGTTAAATACACTGAAACTGAAACAAAGTTACTGTTGTGACTTTTACAATTTAAAATTAAGATCCCTCTTATAAAGCAATTACTTTAATTTTTCTAACCAATGATGACTCTTAATAGTCCAAAGGACAGGGAAAGAGTCTTAAAACAGTCTGGAACAAAATAAAGTTTATGAAATGATGTAGAAAGCCTGAACAGGTGTTACTCCTAACTTTAAAATGAGAAAAGGCTAGATAAACCATCCTATCACATTTCCTGAGTCCATCAAGGAGCAACCAAATGCCCGGAGATCTCAGGAAGAAGAGCTCCCTCCAAGGAAAGACAGGATGTATGCACTGATATCCAATAGCAAGCATATGAGAAAAATGTAGCTGCCATACAAGTGAGAAAAAAATCAGCTAAAAATTTCCCAAAATGCCACTCATCTACTCTCTACCTCTAGTGATGTGGCTATTCTAGCCATTTCCTGTAAGTGGAGTCATATAACATACGATTTTTTATATTTGGCTTCTTTGTCTTAGCATAAATTTTTTTTTTTTTTTTTTTTTTGAGACGGAGTTTTGCTCTTGTTACCCCGGCTGGAGTGCAATGGCGCGATCTCGGCTCACCGCAACCTCCGTCTCCTGGGTTCAGGCAATTCTCCTGCCTCAGCCTCCTGAGTAGCTGGGATTACAGGCACGCACCACCATGCCCAGCGAATTTTTTGTATTTTTAGTAGAGACGGGGTTTCACCATGTTGACCAGGATGGTCCCGATCTCTTGACCTCGTGATCCACCCGCCTCGGCCTCCCAAAGTGCTGGGATTACATGCTTGGGCCACCGCGCCCGGCCTAGCATAATATTTTGTTTTGTTTTTTCCAGTGTTCAGTTTCCTTTAATGACCCCTATCTCCCTGAAGGGCAGGTGCAGACAGCTAGGCGATGGCAAGAGATGTTAACTTGAAGAGCTTGCCCTGATTGAAGACTTCCCACATGCTGGAAGGCCCCCTCCCAGGAAAAGTGCTCTCGAACCAGAGTCTGGGTCTCCTCGCTACCAGGATCCGGGTGCGGCCATGTGTATGACTCGTAGTCTACCTGCCAATCTGGACTCAGCGGAAAGGCAAGCACCTTGCCTTGGAAGACCCAGATTCCAGAAATGGAGCTGCTATTGTTGGTTCCAAAGAGGATGACACTGGCGAAGGCATTCTTCCTCAGCTTGTCCAGTCGCTGGAACATTCTAATGATGAGATTGCAGCTCATGAAGGTCTGAGTAAGTTCTTCAGGGAAAGGATACTCCGAGTAACGCAGGGACCAGCCGTCCTTATCGAAGTGCTCCCAGAAATATGGCAGTGCCGCATAGTGTGTCATCACTGGACTACTTGCACTTAAATTCATCCAACACAAAGGTACTCTTGAGCAGGTGAGCGAAGGGGTCCTTGACCTTGGGTTCAGCGGCCAGCGCCTGCTGACATTCATCAGTACACCTAGGTACTGGCTGGCGGCACTATATCGCTATCAGCAAAGCTCGCCCACTGCACCACCTGGGCTGCTGCCTCTGGAGTACTTCCCCGCAGAACCTCATTGCTTACATAGCAGGCAGTGGCATTGCTCTCAAACACACAGAATCCATCGTCACCCTCAAATGCTGGAAACTTGCCAGCAGGAAATTGGTGGAGAAATTCAGAAACGCAGTTGGTATGGCCAAAGTGGAAGTGGGGTGGTGCAGAGTGCATGCAAACCTGAGCCCCTGCACTGAGCAGCGATGAGGACCTTGAAGGCCCTCCAGTTTTCAGGATATGTGCACAGGATCCCAGCCACCATGGTGATTCCGCAAAGAAATGTGTTAAAGGTTCATCCATGTTTTGAAGGTTCATCCATGCTGTGACAGACACATGCTTGAAAACTTCATTCCTTTTTTTTGTTAACAAATACTGTAATATTCCATTGTACAAATATACTACATTTTGTTTAGTTGATCGGTATTTTTTTTGTGCCCTGAAAACTACAAAACATCCTTGAAAGAAACTAAAAATCTAAATAAATGGGGAGACATTTTAATTTCATAGGCCATAAGACATAATATTAAGATAGCAATATTCCACAGATTCAGTGAAATCCCTATGAAAATTTGTTCTTTTTTTTTTTTTTTTTTTTGAGATAGATTTTTTTTCTTGTTGCCCAGGCTGGAGTGAAATGGCACTATCTTGGCTCACTGCAACCTCTGCCTCCCAGGTTCAAGCAATTCTCATGCCACAGCCTCCCAAGTAGCTGGGATTACAGGCACACATCACCACACGTGACTTATTTTGTATTTTTATTATTTATTTATTTTGACACAGAGTCTCACTCAGTCACCAAGGCTGGAGTATTGTGGCACGATCTCAGCTCACTGCAACCTCTACCTTCCAGGTTCAAGTGATTCTCATGTCTCAGTCTTCCGAGTAGCTGGGATTACAGGCGTTCACCACCACACCTGGCTAATGTTTTTTGGTGTTTTTAGTAGAGATGGGGTTTTACCATGTTGGTCAGGATAGTCTGCAACTCCTGACCTCAAATGATCTGTCCGCCCCAGCCTCCCAAAGTGCTGGGATTACAGGCATAAGTCACAATGCCTGGCCTTAATTTTGTATTTTAGTAGAGACAGGGTTTCATCATGTTGACCAGGCTGTTCTCAAACTCCTGACCTCAGGTCATCCACCTGTGTTGGCCTCCCAAAGTGCTGGGATTACAGGAGTGAGCTACTGTGCCTGGTCTCAACTGTCTTTTTTGCAGAAATTTGACAAACTGATCCCAAAATTCATATGGAAATGCAAGAGACCCAGAATATCCGAAACAATCTTGAAACAGTAAAACAAAGTTGGAGAAATGAAATTTTCTAATTTCAAAGAGTAAATCTTACTACAAAGCTACAGTAATCATGACAAGGGGATACTGGCATATGGTAGGAATATAAATAAATGGACTATGCTTTGAGAGGCCGAGGTGGGCCGATCACGAGGTCAGGAGTTTGACACCAGCCTGGTCAACATGGTGAAACCTCGTCTCTACTAAAAATACAAAAAATTAGCCAGGCGTAGCTGTAATCCCAGCTACTCAGGAGGCTGAGTCAGGAGAATCGCTTGAACCTGGGTGGCAGAGGTTGCAGTGAACCAAGACTGCACCACTGCACTCCAGCCTGGGTGACAGAGCGAGATTCCGTCTCCAAAACGAAACAAAACAAAAACAAAATAAATCAATGGACTAGACTCTAGAAATGAAACCTTACAGTTATTGTCAAAGGGTGCTAGGACAGTTGAAGACACACATACAAGAATGAAGTTTGACCCGTCATGCCATATTTAAAAACTGGTATTCATCTGGGCACAGTGGCACATGCCTGTAATCCTCAGCACTTGGGAGGCTGAGGTGGGTGGTTCACCTGAGGTCAGGAGTTCAAGACCGGCCTGGCCAACATGGTGAAACCCTGTGTCTACTAAAAATACAAAAATTAGCTAGGCATAGTGGTGGTGCCTGTAATCCCAGCTACTTGGGAGGGTGAGGCAGGAGAATGGCTTGAACTCTAGAGGTGGAGGGTGCAGTGGCACAATCTTGGCTCACTGCAACCTCCCCTGGGAAAAAGAGTGAGACTCTGTCTCAAAAAAAAAAGAAAAAAAAAAAAAAAACTCGCATTAATAGATGATATATAAATGTAATAGCAAAAACTATAAAACTCATAGAGGGAAACATAAGTAAATCTTTGCAGCCTTGGGTTAAGCAATGGTTTCTCAGATATTTAACTAAAAATTACAAGTGATAAAAGAGAAAACAGATGAACCAGACTTCATCAAAATTTAAAACTTTTGTGTTTCAAAAAGCACTGTCCAGAGAGTGAGAAGATAACCTACAGAAGTGGGGAAAACATTTGCAAATCATGTCTTTTAAGGGACTTGTATCTAGTCCCTTAAAAGGGACTATATATCTACATATATAGACCTTTACATATGATCCAAAGAGATGAATCAGATATGCTGACCTAAATTTTTCCCAATATCATGAATACACTGGGACTGACAGTTCTGACTTTAAGAAAGGGGCTAAGGTAAAAGAAAGACTAAAGTTCATATATATTTGAATTTTGAAGCATTTTATGTTAATATGAACTTAGTTTAAGTCTCTTTCTCAATTGACAACTTATATTACCATATTAAATTACTAGTTATATCCTAAAATGAAAAATTCTAAATTCCAAGTTTTTATATTATACTAGCACTTAAGAAAAACAGGTTAAAAAAAAAAATAGGAGGCTCCTGAGGTAGGAGGCTTCCTTAAGCCCAACAATTCGAGTCCAGCCTGGGCAACATAGTGAGACACTGTCTCTAAAATAATACAATAAAAGTTTACTATTTTGTAGTTATATACACAGATGTACATTTTGTCATTCTAAATGTGAAATAGAAACGAATAAAATGTATTGGCTGGATACGGAGGCTCACACCTGTAATCCCAGCACTTTGGGGAACAGAGGCAGGTAGATCACCTGAGGTCAGGAGTTCAAGGTGGAGGTTGCAGTGAGCCAAGATCATTCCATTGCACTCCAGCCTCAGTGACAAGAGCAAAACTCCATTTCAAAATTTTTTAAATAGTACGATAAATTTATACTGAAACAGAGAACCCAATAAACAGACTCAGAAAAAATGTCAATCCTATCATAAATCTGAAATAATGGCAGAACAAGAAAGAGTGTAATTTTACACAATATATGTAAGAGAAATAATTCAATATATATCCCACACCAAAAGAGCAAAAAATAAAACACTCCACAAAACCAAAAACAATGCAGGTGCGTGCCACTACGCCCCGCTAATTTTTTGTATTTTTAGCAGAGATGGGGTTTCACCATATTGGCCAGGTTGGTCTAGAACTCCTGACCTCATGATTCAACCACCTTGACCTCCGAAAGTGCTGGGATTACAGGCATAAGCCACTGCACCTGGCCATAATTTTTATTATCTTATAATATTTATTCTTTTTTTTTTTTTTTTTTTTTTTTTTTTTTTTTTGAAGCTTGTTTCGCTATTGTTCCCAACGGGGGGAGGAAGGGTGCGAGACGG